ACTCTCTCGAATTAAAGATAGTTCATTGTTAATACAGCAATTAGTAGTTAGGGGATCCAGAATGTTAGGAGAAGACTTTTAAAAATGTTGTCCCAAGGATTTCTGGTTGATAATCAGTACATGGTTATCTCAGCAGAATTAAACCCTGTTCAGAGTCTATATCTGTGGCATATAAACCTTCAAGAATGCTTTTCATCAAATGACACACAATTAGATCTTCCATGGAACTGTTGAAGATCAGGGATGGCCTTTAGAGTCTTAATCTTGAAGAAAGAGATTGAGTTTTCTTGTTTTTTGTTTCTGTTTTGTGTGTGTGTATGTGTATGTGTGACTGTTTGCTCTTTTGCATAAGTAAACAATATCATATATTGCTGAAAGTGAAAGCAGACTTTCTCATAAAACAGTGGTGCTGCTGATTACTGTTAGTAGAACATGAATTTTGAGTGTTTCCAGGAATGATGGTGACTGTTCTAAACCCTTCAGTACCTCTCTTTGGGTATGTCATGTTCAGAAGTATGCATTTGTGAAATGATCAATCAGGGTTAGAAATGTACTTGTAAGAGATCAACATTCTTCTCTTAATGAAGCCAGATGACCCTCATGGGTATCTTGGTGCCAGGATCATATCTTGACTTCTTAAAATCCACCTCAAGTTGGTATACACATCCTAAATCTTAGAGCTAGAAGAGAACTTGAGGTCATCTTGTCTAACTTCCTGCCTTCAAACAGTATTGTATCTCCCTTATTTATGGATTAGGATCTGAAACCCAAAGAAGTTAAATAGATTGACCAGCAATACACAAGCAGTTCTGGAGAAGGAGAACCCAGGGATCTTGCTTCTTAGTGCAAAGACTATTCCTTACACCCTTAAAATCCTTTAAAATAGTGTTTGCCCTAGAAATTAAAAAATCTGAATTATAGGAGGTTGTATAATTCTCTTTTCATTTTCTCTCACCTCCCGCTATTCCTTATTCTTTTTATTTTAAAACTATTCTAGGACTTGATATGATACATCTCTAGTTTTCTCATTTTAAGTAAAGTCTTTAATATGTAGATCCCATCAGGCTTTTGTTTTCATGCTAGAAATCTGATTATAGTTATCTACTTGATATAAAAAATCAAAGGCAAGTAACTGTCATGGAGGCCTTCTTTTCTTTGTTAATTTTTAATATCTCTATTACCTTATTGCAGTCAAGATGTTACCTATATCTTACCAGAATCAGGAGGAAATGATTTAATGGAATAGAGGACCTGTCATCTCACCTGCCTCTCCCGCTTTTTCTCCTTCTAATTAACCTACTTCGAAAGGTCTAAATTATTCCTTCAAATATTTAACTACATTTACTATGTATTCAGAGAAAGTATAAGCCAGTCAGACCGTTAGAAAGGGCAATTCTTCTTGAGAGTGACTGCATTCTGGATGGTGATGCTGGAATTTCCTGTATAAACGTGGTGAGCAGTAAGGAACTGAACAGAAGGTAAGACTGGTATTTAGGCAACCTTGGAGCTTTATATTAATTTTTGAATGTTTCAAAGACAACGTTTTGGAAACATTCTAAATTTTCAGAATACCAGATTCCATTACTTAATGGAAAACACAAACACTGAAGTACAAAACTATCAGAGCCAAGTGTAAATTACTTGTGAATTATGTGTACTGTTGGTACTTTTAGGATGTTATTAAAATCATTTGTATTCTAAAAGATTTTTCCTCTAGAAGAGATAGGTACTCATGAGTTAGATTATCCAAAGTGGTGTCTATTACTTCATTTTGGTACTGTCCTATAAGAAGGATGTTTTAGCTTCTCAACAGTTTAGGTTACAAATTAACATACATTTTTTTTTTTTTCTTAAAGAAAAGGTTAGCTTTTTATCTTGCAGGCTTTTCACCCTGGTTTTGATAATGGTCTTCATTCCTTAAAATAAGTATCCCTAAACACTAAAGGGAAGGAAATAATTATTGAGAGTTTTTAGAGACCATTTTTCATTTTAAAAATGATATCAGAGTATTGAGAATAGCTAGTTTTCTTAGATGCTGTTTAGAAGATAGAGATGGAGAAGAATATTATTCCAAGCATACATTAATGTCACCATGTTTAGTTTCTTTAAATTCCTTTGTTTAAACTTCTGATGTTTGATTTAAAAATACTTTGAAAATATAAATAACATTTCTTAATCATTACATGTTCTCAAAAATTCCCCAAATTAGCCAACTACATTAGAGTGATTTTTGATGAGAACATCTGAGGCCAGGCGCATTGGCTCATTCCTGTAATCCCGGCACTTTGGGAGGCCGAGATGGTGTATTGCTTGAGCTCAAGAGTTTGAGACCAGCCTGGGCAACATGGTGAAACACCATCTTCACAAAATATAAAAAAAATTAGACATAATGGCTTGCACCTGTAGTCGCAGCTACTTGGGAGGCTGGGGCAGCCCAGCTACTTGAGCTCAGGAGGCAAAGGTTGCAGTGTGAGATTGCGCCCCTGCACTCCAGGAGCCTGGACAACAGAGGGAGACGCTGTCCTTCCCCTCGCCAAAAAAAAAGAACATCTGTAGTGAGGAGCCCAATGTATTATAAAATTTGGTATTGTATCCTACATGATTTTTCTGTCATTGAAAAATAATATTTTGCAGTAGGAGTTCAATGACTACTTATTAAATGTATAGAAGATAATATAGCTAAGAAAGAAAACTACCATTTTTGGCAGGGAGACGTGGAATTTAATAGAGATTATTTTCATGTTAATAGTATATACTTATGAATTATACCAAGAAGTAGCCTGTTTAGAGATACTTGGTTCAGATACTCAGAATTAATGTAGATAAGTTCCTTATAATGTGAGATATTTTTAGTCTTGGTTTTTTGTTTTGTTTTCAGTTTTTATTTATTTTGATTTGGGAATGGGGGCTGGGGACATCAAAGCCATGTAGTATAGAAAATTTCACATTACTGAAATAAACTGTATCCACAATAGTAAGCATTTCTTCTTTTCTTGCCTTAATTTCATGCTCCACCTATAATATGGCTTTTTACTATTTTTCCTTTTTTTTTTTTTTTTTTTGGCCCAAGAATAAATTGTCCTGACAGTCTTTAATTTTAGCTATGGATTAATTAAATGTAAGGATTGTTTATTTGATTTAGTAACGTGAGACACAGTGTTTATGCCCTCATTATCTACAGTAAATGGATAGCTTTTCCTCCTTGTCTCTAAGAACAGTATTTCTTAATATGTGGCCCATAATTAGCATTAGGTATTTTTGCTTGACCACTTGTTAAACATCATTTTTTTCTAGGTAGTGTTTGCCACATGAATGTCTTGTGGAAACAGACTCCTTGATAGCTTAGCTATAATTTTCTAAGTTACATCTTTACCTGCCTTGTTTTTTTAATTCTCCTAATCTTACTAATACTTTAGCATTAGTTTTGCTTCCATTATCAGTGCTTCCAACTTCTGTTTTATGTGCTTTAAAATAATTATATATAGCTGAGCAGGGTGGCTCACTCCTGTAATCCCAGCACTTTGGGAGGCTGAGGTGGGTGGATCACTTGAGGCCAGGAGTTCCAGACTAGACTAGCCAACATGGGGAAACCCTATCTCTACAAAGAATACAAAAAAAATTAGCCAGGCATGGTTGTGCATTCCTATAGTCCCAGCTACTTGGGAGGCTGAGGCAAGAGAATTGCTTGACCCCAGGAGGCAGAGGTTGCAGTGAGCCGAGATCACGCCATTGCGCTCCAGCCTGGGCGACAGAGTGAGACTCCCTCTCAAAAAAAAAAAAAAGATTATACATGGATATCTGGTGCCTATTTTGTTACTTATATATAATTACTGAAATGGTATGGAATTTTGAAACTCTTTAAATTTAGTCTTGATAGTTTTATAAGCTGGTGTGATAAGTGCATCTATAAGGTGATCTTATAAATACATTTGCATTTGTTGTGCTTGTGTTTTTAAGATCACCTTATAAAGGTGTACTTATCCACAAATTTATAAAATTATCAAGACAATACCCAGTTAATTAAGAGTTTGAAAATAACATATTTTTTGGGAGGTTGAGGCGGGTAGATCACCTGAGGTCAGGAGTTCGAGTCAAGCCTGGCCAACAATGGTGAAACCCACCCTGTCTCTACTAAAAATACAAAAAATTAGCCAGGCATGGTGGCATGTGCCTGTAATCCCAGCTACTCGGGAGGCTGAGGCAGGAGAATCACTTGAACTCAGGAGGCAGAGGTTGCAGTGAGCCGAGATCTCACCACTACACTCCAGCCTGGGCAATAAGAGCAAAACTTCATTTAAAAAAAAAAAAAAAGAAAAAAAATAACATTTTATTTGCCGTATATAGTGTATGTATACGCTATATGTATATGTGTTATAGAGTATACATAGTAATATTTGTAGTATATAGTAAAGCATTTCTAATGTTTCTGCCAGAAAAGGTAAATTGCTTGCATTCTTCTGTCTTATTGTTGTCTGCTTAATTTCTCTCACTGCTTGCCAGCGTTGAATTATGATTACTAATGGATGATACTGTTGATGAGATTGTGATTTTCTGCTGTTGATTATTAAAGTCGTCTTTCTGTTTCATGCTGTAATCCTAAAAGAAGGCATGTGATTGTGTTTTTCACTCCACAGCTTCTTTTGCTTTCCTGTTAGTGCATTTTCCTTTATTCTGGTTCTTCAGTTTTAAAATTTACTGTACACCTGTCAGTAGTGTTAATTTTAATTAGATCATCTAATATAATGAAGTTATTTTATGGACGAAGAAACTATTTTAAATGCTTTGTCTCATAAGGTAGTTGTTTCACTCAGTAAAGTATAAACTTTGGAATGTTAAGCTCAACCAAGTGGCTAATATCTAAGGAAGTTTCAGCTTTTGAGACAATTGAAAATTTTTTAATAAGGTCAGTCTTTGAGTGAGGCAAAGGAATTTGAGCATCATCACTACCCATTTTGTATTCACTTGAACTTTTCCTAGATGTCCTTTGCTTTCTTCGTTAGGTGTGGAGGGCGCAGCTTTCCAGAGCCGACTTCCTCATGACCGGATGACTTCTCAAGAAGCAGCCTGTTTTCCAGATATTATCAGTGGACCACAACAGACCCAGAAGGTTTTTCTGTTCATTAGAAACCGCACAGTAAGTTTCCATGTCAACTTTTTCACCTGGATTATAAAAAGTACGTATGACTTTGATAGAGCGTATGGGAAAAATAAAAAGGGAAGGAAGAATTCTAAAATTATCTATAATACTATTACCCAGAGATAACCTTTGTTAATAGTTATTTTTCATTTGGGTATTTTAAAAATGTGTATATAATTTTTGTTTTCATAAAATTGAGATCCTTCTTGGATACATTCTTGTGGATCCCTTTTATACTTCACAACCTCATAAATACACATTAAGAATATTTATTTAGGCCGGGCGTGGAGGCTCACGCCTGTAATCCCAGCACTTAGGGAGGCCGAGGCATGCAGATCACCTGAGGTCAAGGGTTGGAGACCACCCTGACCAACATGGCGAAACCCTGTCTCTACTAAATACAAAAATTGTCTGGGCATGGTGGCGGGCACATGTAGTCCCAGCTACTTGGGAGGCCGAGGCAGGAGAATCGCTTGAATCCAGGAGGCGGAGGTTGCAGTGAGTTGAGATCATGCCACTGCACTCCAGCCTGGGCGACAGAGTGAGACTTTGTCTCAAAACAAATAAACCCTTTAAGCATTAAAAAATATTTTAAAAATAATAATAATCACTTTGACCTTCCCTCTCAAGATAAGAGAAATCTTTACCCTTTTCTGCTCATCTTGTTCAACCTCTTCCTCTGGTTGAATGATTTAACTTCAGTGTCTGCATAATATTTTGTCTGACAGTTGGGTTATAATATAACTGCTGGACATTTGTTGCCAATTTTGCTTTATTATAATTAACTCTGGACAGTCTTATGCATTCTTGACTCTACCTATTATTTCCTTATTATAGAATTCTGGAAGGAAAACTACCTTGTCAGAGAGTTATGAACACTTTTTAAAAGTTTTGTACATATTGCCAGATTTTTTCCCAGAAAGGCCGAACCAGTCAACCCCCCTTTGCCCTGCCCATTTTTATTAAAACAGTGATAATCTGTGCTCCTATAACTGGCCGAAACCATCTTTGTTCTTTTTCATTTCTTGGATTACTGAGACTGACTGCTTTTCACATTGGTCATTTGTATTTCTTCTGTAAATTTTTCTTTCATATATTTTATTCATCAGGAATTCTTATTTAGCCATAGAGTAAGTAGATGAGGGAAAGATGCTATTCAGAACATATTTGGCCGGGCGCGGTGGCTCAAGCCTGTAATCCCAGCACTTTGGGAGGCCGAGACGGGCGGATCACGAGGTCAGCAGATCGAGACCATCCTGGCGAACACGGTGAAACCCCGTCTCTACTAAAAAATACAAAAAACTAGCTGGGCGAGGTGGCGGGCGTCTGTGGTCCCAGCTACTTGGGAGGCTGAGGCAGGAGAATGGCGTGAACCCGGGAGGCGGAGCTTGCAGTGAGCTGAGATCCGGCCACTGCACTCCAGCCTGGGCGACAGAGCGAGACTCTGTCTCAAAAAAAAAAAAAAAAAAAAAAAAAGAACATATTCATGTTACTCTAGGGTGATACAACACAGAAGAAATTTACCTTGTGATTCAGCTAATTTGAATATGAATATAGCTTAGAGATGTCATTGATATGTCTGCTTTTTAGCCACCACCAGTTTCTTTATTTTGGCTATTAGATTGCAAAACCACTGCTTAATTTCGATTGTTAAATATCATTTAGCTAGAGCAATTGATAGGTTATCCTGGGTTTTTGTAAAACAGAAAAGAACAGTGAAGACAGTGAGTTTTTAAAACAGTGAACAGAAAATTCTTAGTGTGTAGTCTGAGGCTGATTTGTCTTATAATTGAATCAGTTTCTGTGTGTAGCATATCAGTATTTGCTCTAAGTGGATTTTTTTTAAGACAAAATTGTCATTTTTTTTGTTTGTTTGTTTGTTTTATCTGAAGAGAGTTTTCACTTTTTACTTAGATTTGAGCGATAGATTTACAGGGATCTCTGTCTTCTCTGATTCACCAAAAGTCCAGATTTGGGGAAGGGTTTCCAAACCATGTTAGATTTGTGGTCTCTGGCTGTGAAACAGAATGTAAATCAACGTCTACTGCAAGAATTTTGTCAGTTCTCTAGTCTTAAACTATAATACTTTAAAATTGAAACTTTAGGATTATTGAACTAGACTGTGACCTAAGCGTTATTTTGTAGGAGGAGGAGGAAGAAGACTTGTGTTGGGCGTGAGGAACTTGGGCCCAGTGTGCACCTGAGGAAGTCCATTTACCTTACAGTGGCCACAGAGTAGAGTATCTGTGTAGATTTGGTTGTAATCCCTTAGTATTTGGTTTATTTACATATAGCCAAATTAATTTCTTCTTGGTTGAAAGTTGTCTTATGGAGCAGTCTTTTTAATTTTTAGCTAAGACTTAAATATAGTAGTATTTAGTTTGTCTTGCATTTTGCAAGTATATACTCACTTTGAAGAGAATTCATTTTAGAGCCCATTGATTGTATCATAATGTTTTTTATGTCTCATCTGTTTTTTCAGCAGTATTTGAAATAATTTGACTGCTCCTTTCTTCTTAAACACAGTACTTCCTTGGATTCAATAACTTAGTATCTGGTTTTTCTCCTGCCTCCCTGGGTGTCTTCTCTGATTGCTTTATAGGATGATCCTTAACAATTAGCCATTATGTGGACTGTTTGGGAGTTCTTTCTCCTCTCGCCCTATTTTTTCCTCTGAGAATCCTTTTCAATGCATTTGACTTCAGTTATTACCCATAAGCAGATGACTCCAGACCTCCTCTCTCTTCTGAGCTCCAGACTCTATATCCATCTATTTTGTATCTCTTCTTGTTGGCTTGGAGCTGAACTCATTATCTTATTTTTTCTTTAAAGTGATTCCATTCATTGTCTGGCATACCAGCTAGCTTAGTTGTACCAAAATGGAGGTGTTGTCCTTGACACCTTTCTCCCCAGCCTCAGCATAACCAGCTGATCATTAGATTTTGTGGATTTTATCCACTTAGTATCTCTGGAGTCGTATAACTCGGGTTTAAATGCCAGTTGCTCCCTGCTAGCTGTATGGACTTGGCAAGTTACTCGGTGGTTTTCTCTTTTAGGCTAAATAACCCCGGCTTCTTCAGTAATTTACTTATTTGATACGGTTTTGTGTTCATCAGTTTCTTTGTCAGGAGTATAATCTCACTGTTTTAATTCAAGGAAAACCCATGTTTGGGGCCTTAATGTTAAAAGGATTATTTTATTTATTTTTATTTTTTGAGACAAGCTCTTGCTCTGTTGCCCAGGCTATAGTATAGTGGTATGATCATGGCTCACTGCACCCTCGACGTCCCGGGCTCAAGTGATCCTTCTGCCTTAGCCACCTAAATAGCTGGGACTACAGGCATGTGCTACCATACCCAGCCAGTTTTTATATTTTTGGTTGAGATGTGGTCTCACTATATTGCCCAAGCTGGTCTCAAACTCCTGGGCTCAAGTGATCCTTCTGCCTCAGCCTCCCAAACTGGTGGGATTATAGGTGTGAGCTACTGCAGCCAGCTAAAAGATGATTTTAAAGATGGTTAAATGACATATGTCTATTTGTATGTAATACAATTTATATCATTTAAATGCAGCTGCAGTTGTGGTTGGATAATCCAAAGATTCAGCTGACATTTGAGGCTACTCTCCAACAATTAGAAGCACCTTATAACAGTAAGTAGTGTGTTCAATAGGACTAATTTTGTACTGGATTGTGAAAATTGCTGTATTCTTCTAGGAGCCTCATGGTTCCTTGATAATTAATTTTTTCATTCATATTTCCATGTTATTTCACCTTGTGCTGTGCAAAAATAAGTCTTTTAGAAAACCTGTTTTCTATGTTTTTTTTCATCTTCTGGTCTTTAAATTGTGTTAACACATGAGTTCAAGAGATTGCTAAGTACTCTTCCTAGACCTGTTGTCCAGCTTTGATCCATGAAATACTTTGGCGCTTCATGGCTCACTATCTGTTTTTTTATTTTTATTTTTTTGAGATGGAGTCTGGCTCTGTGGCCCAGGCTGGAGTGCAATGGCGTGATCTCGGCTCACTGCAAGCTCTGCCTCCTGGGTTCATGCCTATCTCCTGCCTCAGCCTCCTGAGTAGCTGGGACTACAGGCGCCCGCCACCATGCCCGGCTAATTTTTTGTATTTTTTAGTAGAGGCGGGGTTTCACCGTGTTAGCCAGGATGGTCTCGATCTCCTGACCTCATGATCCGCCCACCTCGGCCTCCCAAAGTGCTGGGATTACAGGCGTGAGCCACTGTGCCCAGCCTGTCTGGTTTTCTTATTTCCGGCTTGCCACCAACAATGTCATGTGATGTTTTTGCCAAAGTAAATGAGTGTTATAACTACTTTGTGAAGGTTTGGTTTTATTCTCATTCCATTTGTGGTGGAATGAAATTCTTAAAAATTCTAAATTAGACAGACACAGTGATGTGCACCTATAATCTCAGCTACTCAGGAGACTGAGGTGGGAGGATTCCTTGAGCCCAGGAGTTTGAGTTCAGCCTGGGCAACATAGTGAGATCACTCTCTCTCAAAAAAATTAAAAATTAAATCAATACAATTCCAAAGTATGTGTTATACATTTTGGTCTACTTCACAGACTAATAGTTCTAAGAATCACATTGATTGATTGATTGATTGATTGATTGATTGACAGGGTCTCCCTCTGTTGCCCAGGCTGGAGTGCAGTGGCACATTCACAGCTCACCGCAGCCTTGATCTGCCAGGCACCATCATGCATGGCTAATTTTTTGTTTTTTGTAGAGATAGGGTCTCTACAGTGGTTTTTGAGATCTGATCTAGCCCGGGCTAGAGTGTATTGGTACAATCATAGCTCCCTGTAGCCAGGAACTCCTGGGCTCAGGTGATCCTCCTTCCTCAGCCCCCCGAGTAAGTAGGACTATGGGCATGCACCATCATGCATGGCTTATTTTTTATAAGGGGTCTTGCTGTGGGGTCTTGCTGTGTTGCCCAGGCTGGTCTTGAACTCCTGGCCTCAAGTGATCCTATCACTTCGGTCTCCCAAAGCCACTAGGATTATATGCATGAGCCACCGTGCCCAGCCTTAGAATTACTTTTTTAAAGGAGTCACATGACCTGAAGCTTAATGGAAAAGATGTTTGTAAGGACTTCATGATGGAGAAATAGAAGAGTTAGAAGAATATTGTTTAAACTGCTGAAAATAAAACCATGTTTTTAATCCGCTTATTCTGTAGGTGATACTGTGCTTGTCCACCGAGTTCACAGTTATTTAGAGCGTCATGGTCTTATCAACTTCGGCATCTATAAGAGGATAAAACCCCTACCAAGTAAGGACCTCCTACCTGGCTGATAAATTTTACATTTTTAAGTTACGGTTTCAGGACTGTGTATTATGTCTATGATGTTAGGATTTTATTTTGATTCATAAGACTATATTTAAAAATATTTCCAAGTTTATCTTACAAGTCAAGTTTAATAAATAATAAAAAATAAAGTCTCTGAATAAATGTGCATTTCCCTTAATTTCTAGTTTGATAGCTACTTAGTAAAAGATACTAGATTTCCAATTTAAAAAAAAGAATAAAACAGTAAATTTGTTAAAAATGAGAGGAGTTCATTTTGAGGTTTTTCTCTCATTGACCCATTCTTTATGTTTTCAACAGTTGCTTTTTTTAATGCTTTAATCATTTTTTCAAAAAGAAATACTAACTTAAGACTACAAGGGTAGAGGTTAAGGGAAATAGCTTATATGCAGAATGTGTCCTAATATAATAATGAAGCAGATTATTAACCAAATTAACTAAGAATCACAGATACTGAAACATATGCCTGAGGTAATGAGAAAATAAATCTTAGGATAGTGGATTTGATTTATAAATGTTCGACACTGAATTTGAATTCATAAGTTTCAGCTGTTCGTTCATTTGTTTTCAGGTAGTTTTCATATTTTGAAAATAACTCTGAATGTTTTACTTTGTAAGATATTATAATATGTTAAGAACCTAGAGGTTTTCATGAATAAGACTGTAAGTACAAACTTTTATACCTACAACAAAATACTCTTTTTTTTCATTTTTTGCTTTTAGCTAAAAAGACAGGAAAGGTAATTATTATAGGCTCTGGGGTCTCAGGCTTGGCAGCAGCTCGACAGTTACAAAGTTTTGGAATGGATGTCACACTTTTGGAAGCCAGGGTAAGAATTGCCTTTTGAGTTTAGAGGCTTGACCTATTGGAAACATGGTAAGCAAATTATCTGTTGCAAATTAAGGAATTATACAACTTGAACTAAGTGAAATTGATTTGTAAAATAGAGTGTTTTGGATAGTGTTATTTATATTTTAAAGACGCATTTTTTCATATGAATGCTTTGAAAAGTGCTCTGTGAGGAGGGTTTTAGAGTATTTCTTTTCCTGACTGATATTTTCAGATCATTGTTTCTTGTAGTTAGCTCTTAAATTTGGGGCCTTCATGGACATATCTTTTGTTAGGAGGCAGTTATTTTTGGTGGTGGAACAGAGTGAATTCCCTATTTTTGATAAAGAAAAAAAGCTGCCTCTCAGGCAGGAACCATCTTTTAGAAGCCAAGATACTGTTTTTTTTCCTGTTAGTCCTAGAGAGAGAAATTGAAACAGGAGGAGCAATAAGGGATAATGACATACAGTAGGAAAAAGAGCATATATTAGGATGCTACTGTTCAAGCTATTTTCATGAATAATTTTTGAAATCTAATTATCTTCTAATGGCTTTAAACTGCTGATTTTTTAAGAGAGTATGGGGAAATTGAAATTAAATATTTTCCTGATACACTGTTATTAAAAATTTTATATATTCAGAAAACATTTTTGTGCACTTTGTACATTTTGTATTGAAAAATACAATAAGGAATAATAGGACCATTATGATTCCTACCCATGAGGAATTTATAATCTAGTGCGTAGGTTTTTGTTTTGTTTTGCATTTTTGTTTGTTTGTTTGGAGTTCCAGAGTATTCTTACATTATCTATAATCATTAAATTATCGCTAGAACTCAGCCATACTTGAAAATCCCTGGTCAGCAGTGATAAACCTGGGCCTATTTAGGGATGAAAGGTAATGTGAACAGGCTATGTTCAGTATGGACCCTGGGCATAGGGCTGCACTGGAGAACCATTTGTCAGAAAAATTATCCTTCAGATTTTTCCCAGCTAATTTTGGGGATCAGGGTGTAAGAGTCAGATTACAGTGGTAGAAAGTTGGTATTTAAATAGTGTTGGGATTTGTGAACAAATATTTTCTATGTGGGTAGCCTCGTTCATCCTGTACATTAAAAGGTATTATAGACAGCCGGGTAGAGAGGTACCTGTGACTAAATATATCTTCCAACTGTCAAGTTGTTTTATATCACATCATTTAATTCTGTGTCATTTAGTTATATGACATTTAATTATATGTCATTTGTTGCCTGCTTCTCCTTCAAATAGTCTTCAAGTTAAACTTCATTTGTTCTTTGTGCCCATAGCACTGTTGATTGCATTCCATGTAAACTCTATATCTTTATTTTTAAATTATAGAAGACAGAGCCATGGTATATTACTATGGCAGGTTTGTGGTTAAAACACAATTGATGATTTTGGCTATTTAATTTCTGAAACAGGATCGTGTGGGTGGACGAGTTGCCACATTTCGCAAAGGAAACTATGTAGCTGATCTTGGAGCCATGGTGGTAACAGGTCTTGGTAAGTAGCTATTGGTTTGTCCTATAGTACGTGGTCTGAGACTCATAAAATAAAAAAAAAATTTAAAGCCAGAGATGCAATTTTAAGGTGTATTGGTTTAGAATAGTTATCTTCTGTTACTGAGAGATATAGCAGTATGTGGAAAATGTAAATTGTACATATCTTTTGACCTAGAGTACCTCTTTCTAGTTCTGAGAAATTATCCTATGAAGATAAGTAGATAATGTGTTTGAAGCTTTTTTTTTTTTTTTTTTTGTGAGACAAAGTCTCGCTCTGTCACCCAGTCTGGAGTGCAGTGGCGTGATCTCCACTCACTGCAGTCCCCTCCTGGGTTCAAGCAATTCCCCTGCCTCAGCCTCCCGAGTAGCTAAGACTACAGGCACATACCACCATGTCCACCATGCCCAGCTAATGTTTTGTATTTTAGTAGAGGCGAGGTTTCACCATGTTGGCCAGGATGGTCTTGATCTCCTGATCTCATGATTAACGTGGCATTGTTTTTGTTTGTTTTGAGACGTGGTCTCGCTCTTTTGCCCAGGCTGGATTGCAGTGGCATGATCTCAGCTCACTGCAACCTTTGCCTTCCATGCTCAAGGGATCCTCTCACCTCAGCCTCCCTAATAGCTTGGAATACAGGCATATGCCACCATGCTTGGTTAATTTTTAATTCTTTGTAGAGATGAGGTCTCACTATATTGCTAGGCTGATCTGAATTCCTGGGCTCAAGTGATCCTCTCTAAGTGCTGGGATTACAGCACTGGTCTCGAAGTCCTGACCTCAGGTGATCCACCCACCCCACGGCCTCCCAAAGTGCTAGGATTACCACCATAATCCTATGTGGGCATTAGCCAGCTTGCCCATCCCTGGCATTGTTTTTCATAGCAGAATATTAGAAACCACAGATTAGAATATTATACCATGAGCAATATACAGCCACTGAAAATCATGTAGCTCCGTATTAGTGTAAAACAATGTCCACAATATATTGCTAAGTTGAAAAGAGATTATAAAACAGTACTTATTATGATCCTTTTGTGTGTGTCTGTAATTTTATACACTTAAAATCTGGAAGGATCTGTAATAAAATGTTACTTAGTGGGATTATAGGTAATTTTTTTGCACTCTTCATGTTTATCTTACATATTTTTACTTGGAGTGCTTTTTTGAGAAATAATTTACATACTGTAAGCTTTTGAGGATTTTTTGAGTAAAAATATTTTTTACTGTGAGGTTTTTGTTCTCTCTTCATAGGTCTATTGAATTTAATTGCTTGAGTTTTTTCTAGGAGGGAATCCTATGGCTGTGGTCAGCAAACAAGTAAATATGGAACTGGCCAAGATCAAGCAAAAATGCCCACTTTATGAAGCCAACGGACAAGCTGTAAGTCAAGGACAAACAACTTTCAACATTTCTTTGGTTTAGTTGAAAACAATTTTAGGAGGATGGTATGGATGAGCATATACATATATACACATACAGAGGTGTATATATATAAACTGAGGGGTAGAGATGATGTGACGTTATTCTGATTGTTTCTTAACTCTGAGCTATGTAAGAAGGGATTATTGTATGTATACACATTTACCTGTCTGTTTAACATTTATCTTTAGATATTTAATGAAGGCTAGCTAGACAGTTAATCTTTTTATTTGGCTGTGGCCCCTTACTCCAAGGGACTTATGGAATTGAAACCTGATTCTTCATTTTTTTTGTATTGTGCCTTCCATCATGTGCTTTAGCTCCATGTGTTCTTTATGACTTCAGTTTTGTGTTTATAGGCTAATATTTTTGATGGGCTAATAGCCAAATGGTGGTACTTACCCACATGCTTAGATAGGCTAAAGTATATTTGTTGACCAGAGGCATAGGAGCTTCCTATACTTAGTATGACTGTAGCATGGAACTGATGAATGGTATGGGGAATTGCACAGTTTAACAACTTTAAGATAGGCTTAAATTACGTAAGTCAGTCCTAATTTTTAGAAGTGAGTGAAATTCAAAATTTGTATTTAGCAGAAATTTTAGTGATTCCCTTTATCAAGATGAGAGCCAACACTTCTCAGGATATAAGCACATATTATCTTTATATCTGGGGAAAAGGGCGATTTCCTGTGTATACAGTGGGTTTAGCTACTGTTACTAAAAGTGGTAGGATCCCAACTCTTGAATTTTGTGTGATATGTTTCAAGGAACATTCTCACTTATTCCTATCTACCTTAAGGCTTTATGGAGTTCCTATCAAGAGAAGGGCAGACTCTCAGGGAATGCTTTGGTTTCCATCCCCACCATCATGGTCCAGATTTCCTACCAGTACTTGGGTGGGGTGGGTAACAGGAGGCTTCTTGCAGAATAAACTGAGCAGAATGAGAGAGAAAGGATGAAGCAGAGATTAACTCAACAGTTGAGTAAACTTCTCTTATTCTACCAAGATCTGTAAAGGATATAGAGATGAATAAAATAGTCCCTGCTATAGTGGTACTTGTACAGAAATAATTCTTTTTTCCCAACTTTTTATTACGGAAATTTTAAAACATGGACAGAAGTAGAAAGAGTACTGTAGTGAACCTGTTTTCCCAATCTTGTTTTATCTGTCCCATTCCTACACTTTTGAGTCCAGGGGAAGTCTGGAGTATTTTAAAGCAAATCACAAACATCCATAAATATATTAATACCAGTAACATAAAGTGAAAGCCAAGGATTAGATAGAAGAGCAAATTGCTGTGGAAGAACCAAGGTGGCAAGAGAATGTATGAAGGTGTGAGGGAAAGGGCACTAAGAGATCTGGAGGGAAGGAGAACATTTGTGAATGGCAAATCAGGATTGCAGGCAGAGGAGGCTTAAGTCTAAGCAGATAAGTCTGTAAAGGAGGATGGGATTATACCAGTGAGGGTAGGAAGATAGAAAATTTAGGGTGGGGCCATGTTGTAGTGGATGTTACTTGCTAGGCTTGATTATAGGTTGGAACTGGAGAGGTTTGAGAACAGGGGAAATGACATGATTAAGTCAGCATTGAAAGTATAATATTAGTAGTAGGTAATAAGTACAGAATTGAGGTGAGGAGAAGCGAGGCTCCAGAGTGGCTATTACAGTCATCAAGAAGTGGTAAGAGTCCACAGTAAAGATTAATCACTGATCATTGAGACACCATCTTTTTCTTTAGACTTTTCTGAATGTAGAGCAGGTTCATTAATTCTTTCTAACAGTAAAGAGAGAAGTTTTTTCTTTTTTTTTTTTTTTGAGACGGAGTCTCGCTCTGTCGCCCAGGCTGGAGTGCAGTGGCGCAATCTCTGCTCACTGCAAGCTCCGCCTCCCGGGTTTACGCCATTCTCCTGCCTCAGCTTCCTGAGTAGCTGGGACTACAGGCGCCCGCCACCTCGCCCGGCTAGTTTTTTGTATTTTTTTAGTAGAGACTGGGTTTCACCGTGTTCACCAGGATGGTCTCGATCTCCTGACCTCGTGATCCGCCCCTCGGCCTCCCAAAGTGCTGGGATTACAGGCTTGAGCCACCGCTCCCGGCCGAGAAGTTTTTTCTATTAGAGATACCCAGAGAAATGGACTGCTTTCTTAGTATTAGATGAGCTTTAGCGCATTTTTTAAAACACTTGTTTCTGTACCACTGCTGTCCTCAGGTGGGGCCTGCACTGGCTGCCAGTCTGTGAACTGTTGATTACCAGTGTGGGATGAAATAAAGAAATTACACTGCTAACCACACTGTTAATTCAGTTGGTGACTTTTTTTTTCCTGGTAGCAAAACTCTCAGTGAAGAAAGTGGTACATTGATTTATCCACATCTTACCAGGACCAGCCCTTTGAGTAGCGCTGTAAACAGTTGTTAACCTTGTGTGTGGTTTTCAGCATTTTGAATGCAAGGATATTTTTCCCAATGAAATTGGTAGTTGTCATTCAACTCTGATATGTATAGGATTTTTCTAAGTTGATACATTTATATTTGGTGCAGTAGCCAAGTGATAAGGAATATTTTAAACCATTCTCAAATTTGGGAATGGATTCTTTGCAGCTTTGATTTATGCTTGCCTTAGTTAATCAAATATAAGGCATGCTAATGTTTCTGTACTGCTGTCTCCAGTTGTCTGTCTCAGAGTAAGAATGGAAAACTGTTGACTAGTAAATTAGCTTTTTTTTTTTTTTTTTTTTTTTTTTGAGGCAGAGTCTTGCTCTATCACCCAGGCTGGAGTGCAGTGGCACAGTCTTGGCTCACCGCAACCTCCACCTTCCGGGCTCAAGTAATTCTCCTGCCTCCGCATCCTGAGTAGCTGGAATTACAGACGTGCCCCACCACGCCCGGCTAATTTTTTTGTATTTTTAGTAGAGATGGGGTTTCTCCATGTTGGCCAGACTGGTCTTGAACTCTCGACCTCAGGTGATCCACCCACCTTAGTTTCCCAAAGTGCTAGGATTACCAGCGTGAGCCACTGTGCCTGGCCTAAACTAGCTTTTGAACAAGCTTATAGGACAAGTACAAAGAGCCCCACTAATTTATGCTTGTAATTACAAATACGTTTCATGGCTTTAGCGATCTAAAGAGAGGTCAGTAGCTTTATTCTGTTATTGTGGGAGAAGAAACTAAAGCTTATAGGTCAGTAGCTTTATTCTCTTATTGCAGGAGAAGAAACTAAAGCTCATAGGTCAGTAGCTTTATTCTCTTATTGCAGGAGAAGAAACTAAAGCTCACACGTGTGTTTGCCTAAGGTTATCATAATCAGTAAATTGAAGAGCCAGAATCCATTGCCTGGTGTTCTGGTTCAGATTCCCATACTTGTTTGACTACAGCCCGCTGACATTTCAGGGAAGATGGGGTGAGGTGAGTGTATGCACCTCTTTCTAACTGCCTGTGTGACGACATCAGCTAAGTCTCCTTCTCTGAGAGCTTTGTTTCAGTAGTTACTCCAGGAGCCAGCAAGGCCTACCTAAAGTAAAAATTCATTCAGTCATTGATTTTTCTTCCAACTGTTGGATGAAATGGGGTTGGTTCTGTTTCTCCATGCTTTGTGGACAGCTTCAGTCAAAAAAAGACTGACTTGTTGGTTCTGTTGTTAGTACATAGAAATTAATGATATCATCCTGTAGAAGGCCAGAAAGTTACTCTGAGTTATATCACTAGTAATAATGTCTGAAGGACGTATCTGCATACCCAGACATTTTGCTGCTGTAGGAAAGGAATCATATAGCAAGTGATTTTTATTTTATGTCATTGTTTTAATCACAATCACAAGAATCCCTAAAAAAGTTTACCTCTCTGTTCTCTCTCCTACATTTGTAGCTAGTATATTGAGTTTCTGTGTTTGTTTTTGACAAGGGACATTTATTTTATGGCTTTGGATGACTAGAACAAGGACTTCCCTAGTAAACATATTAATTAATATGAGGGATATAATATAGAGATATAAAATAATGTAGGGATACTAAGCATATCCCTCTAAATAGAAGGGATCTCCACTACCTTAAGCCTATAAAACAATCAAAGCTAGTATAGCAGCTGCCTTCAGTTGATTGGTGATGGAGTTATACTCTGACCTATGCTGTCATCAGTAACAGCTGTAACTGGACATGGAGAAGGTTGGGAAATAGGGTAATTCATATTTCAGGGAACATTTTGCTGGTCTCTGCTGAGGGGACTGAAAACACGATTGGTCGGGGAGACAGTGGAAATGGCTCTGAATGTTTTCTGCATCTCCTGTACACCAGCTAGTAACTCATGGGCTTTACTTTTTTTTTTTTTTTTTAGGGTATCTTAAATCAAATTCCCACAGTACTGTAGCATTCTGTTTCACAAGGTCTCTGGTCATTTGTGTGTGTGTGTGTGTGTGTGTGTGTGTGTGATTGTGTGTGTGTGTGTTGTTACAGATCCTTGTGTATGTGTGTGTGATTGTGTGTGTGTGTGTTGTTACAGATCCAGAGGACTCCTTTGAAAAACTGAGCTTTGATTTTCTTCTTGGGAATGACTCAGCTGTTAAGAGAATGACAGACAACATATGAAAAGTAATGGGTGTCAGGTCTCTTACAAAGACCATTAACTAAAGGTGTATTAGGTATCTGTCATAACTTAGCCAGTTTTCATTTGTGTTCTTATACAGTGGTGCTTAGGTTAGTACACCTTTGACACAGACCTGTTGGCCTTTTTGGTTTTCTTCCTTTGAGGAAACATTTTCAATATCTTTATGACAGTCTTTCTCTGCCCTTTAAAATCATTACTGCCAATCCATGCTTGTTTATAAATGTAAAAATCTCATGCCTTCCTTTAATGGTCCTGAAGTTGCAAATAGTTTTTGCCCCCTTAATTATAGTTATAATACTGACTTTGCTTTTCCAAACTGTATTTATTTGTTTAACAAGAATTTACTGGACTAAAAACTTCTAGAGAGAACTACTTAGATATGTTGTGTGTGCCTTTTCCATACACTCTAATCACTGCTTTAAGGAAGTCAAAAAGATTCCTTATGGGGTGGGAGTTGGGGGAGACAACAGTCTCTGTAGAATCACATTGATTGTTTTGTTTTGGAGACAGGAAGATCTTGCAGTGTTGCCCAGGCTGGAGTGCAGTGGCATAAACATGGCTCACTGTGGCCTTGCCCTCCTGGGCTAAAGTGATCTCCCACCTCAGCCTCCTGAGTAGCTGGGACCACAGGCACACACCCCTACACCTGGCTACTTTAAAAGAATTTTTGTAGAAATGGAGTCTCACTATATTGCTCAGGCTGGTCTCAAACTCCTGGACTCAAGTGATCCTCCTGCTTCAGCCTCCCAAGGTGCTGGGATTTATAGATAAGAGCCACTGCGCCCAGCCTAGAATCACGTTGAATTTTATTTGCATTAAGGATATATTCCCCCTGTAGGGATAATAGCTATATCTCATTTCCCTTGGCTGTTGAGGAGAATCTGAAATTAGAGACTCTTCAGAAGTAAATTTCTTCTTCCAGGTTTTACCAAATGAACTAATCTTAATCTTCTGCTTCACCATCATTCTAGAAGTGCTCGATGGCATGGGATGGGGAGGTGGAGATTGGCTGTCTAGTCAGATTTGGCAATTACTCCTTTTTTCTGATTCATTCTGGGGATTTCTCTGGCTAAATCTCAGACCTTTCATTACCTAGTGTACGTTGCTGCATTTAACTCCATTCTGCTCTGCTGCTGGTGAGTTTGTGAAGACTGGAAGTAAGATAGGTGTACAATGTTTTTGAAGACCTAAAGAGCTTGTCAGAATGAAACCAGAGGTAGAACTAAAGAGAGCTGTCCTTCTTCCTTTGAGATTACTTCTTGCAGGACCAGGGACCTTGTCCAGAAAGGTGTTTGGCTTTCCCACATTCTGCATGGGGTAGACACACAGGCTTCCCTTCCCCTGGACACATTTAGAGATAGTCCATATAATCTACTGGACCAAGACAATCAGGATTGAACCTATTTGGAACAATGAGACTCTTCAAATTCTTAGTCTTGTAGGAACTATTTACCTGGAGCCTTTCATAGAGAAATAAATGGTTTCAAAAAGTCAGTCAAAATCTGTTTAAAGTGATGTCCATTTTGTTTGCTTCTTAGATAGAAGGCTCTTACATTATTGGTCCTTTCCCCAAAAATGCTTTTTAGTTTGCTGTTACAAGTTCTCACTGTGTTGCAGTGTAGAAATCCACCTGCCTTCTAATGTGGTACTTAAAACCCTTTGTAATCATTCGTTGAGTTTCTTTCTCGGGATACAAGTTAAGGATCTAGATTAGAATAGTCAGGTAAGATTTAGATTATTGTTACCTATGTTTAGTGATTGCCAATATTTCAATTCCATTTTGTTGTTATTGTTCCATAATAATTTGTAGAACTAATAGAATCCAAGGATTCTCATCAAGGGGAAATAAATGACTTAAAGTATGGGTAGTTTGGGGTTGTCAGGGTAGTCATTTGTTAGTTCCTTTTATTGTCTGGGTATGTTAAATAGAATATTTCTAACTAGCTTGTTTTTAGAAATGATTCTGATTTAAAGGTATTAAAAACACATTTTGGTTTTCTCCCAGTCAGTATTGATTTCCTAAGGGACAAGTATTTTATGTATTATTTTCCAAATATTCCTTTAATTTTCAAGTGAAATTTTAATGTTAGTGGGGAAAAAAAAGCCAGGTTTCAGAGCTATCCCTGGCTGCACTTGCAACATTCCTGTAATTGCTTAGGTGGAAAATGGATGGGGCCTGGTGGCTGACAATCTCACATAATCTCATACAACTGAGCCTCGGGTTAGAATGGTGTACCGGAGATGCAGTCCTGTCATCTGGTGTCAGTCAAATGTGGCAGCAATCTTTTGGTTTGGTTTTTGTTTGTTTGATTTTGTTGTTGTTGTTGTTGTTACTGTTCTGTGTTTTTCCTTTCCTCTTTTGAGTTTTGCTTTATTCCTCACTGCTTTCTGACACTTCCCCCTCACTCCCCCGCCTTTTTTTAACTGCCTTTCTTTTGGCCATTTCTATGCCTTGACTTTCCCATTTAGTCTCCGTACTATCTGTTCCTTATTTCTTTGGTGGTTGCAGCTTCTGAGCTAACAGAATGCTTCTGTCATGCTATGTGTTTAAAGCCTTGATTTTATTGCTGTCATACAAAACTAAACTTGACGTGGCTGTTGGGCTGTTATTTACAGTTTATTTCTCTCTCTGCTGCACTGGTTAAAAGGACACTGTCAAGGTATTTTTTTCATAATTTTTCAAATCATTTTCCTCACTGTTTACAATAACCCATTAAAAGCTTGAAACCTAAATCTTTTCCTTTCAAAGATCCTCTCCATCATACATTCACACTGGTTTGTTGTTGTAGAGTTGCGCCTATATGTTGGGCTGGTGCCATTTGAGTTTTTGTCATTGAAAGCGCGTGTAAAACATTAGGTTTTTTGTGGGTGGTGTGGGTGGACTAAGGGGGAAAGTGTAATGAATCCAGTGGGCTGCTCAGCAAACAGAGGGAGGAAACAGAGGTCAAATTTGGTCCCTCTAACCTTGACAGTGTCCCTTTAAATATTTCTCTACCACACACCCTGGACCCCAGTTACTGAGCCTGAGTGCTGTGTACTTTTTCAGTATGAACTTCCCTATGTGATTGTCATCCTAGTTGCAAAGATTAAAGCTTGTCTGAAGCAAACCATCCAGTTGACGCTGGAAGAGCTTTAATCTGTACCATTTGCACACTTGCGTATTGACACATTCTGCCCTATTGTAGAGGCATATGTGATCTAGTAGTCCCTCTTGCTGCTGTAGCATCCTCTTGCTAGGCATTTTAGAAGCAACACATAGAAATACCACTTTTATACTCCAAGAAAATCAGTCATACGCATTGCATCTGTGATGAATTAAGGTCTCATAACTACCTGGATTTCACATGGAAATGTAATTGTTTCCTTTTTGAAAGAAGAACCAAATTTAGATTTCCAGAACCGTCTTTTGTAGCATCATTGCAGGATTTGCACTGGAAGTAGCACGTTTCTGAGCAAAATTTCGGCATTGTTTGAGTCGCTCTATATATGACCATCACATATCACATCAGTGAGGAAAAGTAGCTGAAAAAGTAAATGAAATTCCTGACCAAAGGATCTGTCTCTTCCATCAGCTCTCATAGCTGTGTAATAAGAGCAAGCTCTTTTTTGACCATTGAGTTGAATGAGTAATAGGTCAGAGGTTTTTGATCCACCAGTCCTAGGTACCTTCCTGATATAAATGGCACCAAGCATCCAAAGCCTGATTCTCTGCCTCATTTAACACAAACCAGAATATTTTTAGAGATTTAGATTTTCTTTAGGCTAAGGGTAATTCTTTAATTATAAAGACACCCTCATCTCTCCCATGTATAGTCTTTTGGAACTTACTGCTTTGAATGTGATTTTGATTAAATCAGCTACGGCGTCTCATATTTACAGTTCAAAGGAGAGTTGCAGTCCTCTTTCTTTTTGGGAGCAGATTGCCCTTCTTGCCAGATTCTTTCTGCCACACATTGGCTTATCTCATAGAGTTACTTGTGTGATCAATGAAGGAGCAGAGGCCAGGGTTCAAAATCATCTGTTAAGTTGGGAAGTAGAAAAACTGTGGAGTTTCAAATGAGAGGTAGAATATTATTGGGATGGTCTTGTCAACAGTCAGTTATCTCTGATTGTTAGAGGTCGCTCCTCCTGGGTCTTAGTGTTTACTAGAATTTACTTCCATGTTTTATTTTTGTGTTACCAATTTTAGGTTGACTGTGTAGTGAAATTCCGTGTTTTGAATCACATTTCCCAGCTGATACCAGCCCAGCTTATAACAAGCAATGCTTGCCTTAAGCATATTTTTTCTTTCTCTCACTTCTGCCATGAATTCAACAATAGGATTGCATATACAGTTTACTTTGGGGCTGAATTAAGCAGTAGCAGAGGGGTGCTTGTGAACTAACTGATGTTATCGGTAGGCAGGCACACAGCATGGCTTAGGATCATGGTCTTCCAGCTTGATGAGCTGCTTTGCATTCTGTTTGCTTCATCCACATCAATGAGGAGCCAGACCTTCTGGTCCTTCATTTACTCATAGACTCTCTTAAGAGCTTTGTACATTCAATTCTGAACTTATTGGTGCCATAAAATGTTATTACTGTGCAAAAGAACAAAAGTGCTAGTATGTTCTTATTAGTAGCCATGAATTTCATTTCTCTTTTCCCTCCTCCCACCTGAGATTCATCTTTGAGGGGAAGCAGATACCTTGGGCTTCTTATTTTCCCATCCTGCCCTTATTCTTGGAAGGTCCTCAGATTTGTTGACATAGTTTTTGTTCTCTGGGACTTTTCTAGTGTGTTGTTTGCATGTTAGCCAGCTCAACTTAATGCATGTCAGCTCAGTGCCACTTGTGCTCCATGTGACTTCAGTTAGCACCAGTGTGAATCTTGTGGCTGTTAATAGAGGTGGAGTCCCAGCTCTGAGGGCAGAAGTGGGAGAAGAGGAAATCGTCAGGGCCCAAACATTTCATATCTCATTTAAATGGATTTGACCACTTCATAGAAAAGAAAATTTGAATCATTGTGCTCAAAGGTTTCCCCTTTGAGATACATATTTTGACCTTTATAAACTATAGAGCATTTGTGTTTTCATGGATGGATATGTTTAGTTTTATAAGGACCAACTCTGCTATACTTCGGATTTTCAGGTTCCTAAAGAGAAAGATGAAATGGTAGAGCAAGAGTTTAACCGGTTGCTAGAAGCTACATCTTACCTTAGTCATCAACTAGACTTCAATGTCCTCAATAATAAGCCTGTGTCCCTTGGCCAGGCATTGGAAGTTGTCATTCAGTAAGTACTTTGATAGTGCTTATTGTATAGTGAGTTCCATATGTAAAGATTTGCCATTTATGTTTTAAGTTTTTCTGCAAGTCTTATTTGAGCTAGTTTTTACTTAATTTCATGTGAAACCATTGAATCCAAAATTAAAAATTATTTAAAATTATTATATGATCTCTTAAGGTCCCTTTCACTTCTAAAATTCATTGCTTTTATGGTATTACACTGTATTTAACATAGCCTAGGAAATAATTTCCCACTAGCCAACTTTCTTGTTCCTAAGTATTAGAAGTGTCAGTGGGCCTTGATGCCCTTAAATGTTTTTGATGGGCACCTGTCTTATTTTGCAAAGTTGGCTTTGAGACCAGATTATACATATTGTCTCTCTTAGGTTACAAGAGAAGCATGTCAAAGATGAGCAGATTGAACATTGGAAGAAGATAGTGAAAACTCAGGAAGAATTGAAAGAACTTCTTAACAAGGTGAAATTCTGTATTTTCTTTATAGCTGAAGAAGCTTTATTAGGATAAAATGTCTTTAGAAATTTTAAAAGCATTTCTGAGACTTTTTTTCTCCATGGAAGAGAAAGTCTGCACAGCTGGGACTCATTCTTAAGAAAATAATGACTAACCAAAGAGACTGTTTTATCTGTCAGTGTTTCGGTGTGGCATTATTGATAAATGTTGCCAGAGGAAATAGATCTTTCCTCTTTTTCTGGTTCCCTTTAGCTCAGGGTTGTCCAATCTTTTGGCCTCCCTCAGTCACATTGGAAGAAGAAGAATTGTCTTGGGCCACACATAAAATGCACTAACACTAATGACAGCTGATGAGCTTTAAAAAAAAAGAAAAGAAAAGAAAATTCAGTGTTTTGAGAAAGTTTATGAATTTGTGTTGGGCAGCATTCAAAGCTGTCCTGGGCCACGAGTTGGACAAGCTTGGTTTAGCCATTCTAAAGCTATCCCAGTGCCCTCGGCTGAATTCTAGGACTAGCAGGAGATTAACTGTACTGGAGCCAAGTTTCCATTGGTGAAGACCAACAAATCAGCAGCCAGTTCATTGGCATAATTACTTCTCTTGAGTTGCCAGCACCCCCACCTCTGTTCCCCAGGGCTGAACTCTTAGGGCTCTTCTCTGCCACCACCTTCCAGTGCCCCAGGCTCCGGAGCATTAAAGTCCAACCATTTATTTCTCCTCACCCTGCCAGCTGCAAAGGTCACATGAGCTTAGGGAGAAAATAGCCCCTGGAGGGGGCCTTTATAGTGCATACTCTGGGTGTGGGTGTGCCTGTGACTGGACTCTTGCCTCTCACTCTCACTGTGCCTCATTTCTTCATCCGGTCTGATGAAGAGGTCTCCAGCTCACAGTCTTCATGGATTGTGGTAAGGATGAAAAGAGAAGAGTGACTTAAGAACTGCCAAGTGGCAGGATACCTATAGGGTGCCCAGTCTCAGGCTTTGTCACTCTTGGCCTGTGTAGTATCATCAGAAACCTGAAAAAAGCTAACATTAAGAATGGTTCCTTAAGATTCTTTGGCCAGGCACAGTGGCTCACGCCTATAATCCCAACACTTTGAGAGGCTGAGGCAGGTGGATCACTTGAGGTCAGGAGCTTGAGACCAGCCTGGTCAAATGGTGAAACCCCTTCTCTACCAAAATACAAAAAATTAGCTGGGCATGGTAGCACACACCTGTAATCCCAGTTACTCGGGAGGCTGAGGCATGAGAATCATTTGATCCTGGGAGGCAGAGGTTGCAGTGAGCTGAGATTGTGCCATTACACTCTAGCCTGGGTGATAGAACAAGACTCCGTCTCTTAGAAAAAAAAAAAAGTTATTTGACCTTTTACATATTTAAAAAACACATTATAGGACCAGGCGCAGTGGCTCACGCCTGTAATCCCAGCACTTTGGGAGGCCGAGGTGAGCAGATCACAAGGTCAGGAGATTGAGACCATTCTGGCTAACATGGTGAAACCCCGTCTCCACTAAAAATACAAAAAATTAGACGGGCGTGGTGGCGGGCGCCTGTAGTCCCAGCTCTTCGGGAGGCTGAGGCAGGAGAATGGCGTGAACCCGGGAGGCGGAGCTTGCAATGAGCCGAGATCACGCCACTGCACTCCAGCCTGGGCAACAGAGCGAGACTCCGTCTTAAAAAAAAAAAACACATTATGACAATTTGTTTCAGAAAATCAGTTCAAGTTACAATAGCGGTATTTTCTTTTTTGTGGGTATTAAATTTATTTCAATACTGGGTTTTTTGTTTGTTTATTTAAATTAATGGGACACTCCTCATCCTTCTCATTCATTTTAGAAGGCAGCACTGATCTTAGCAGATAGAGTTGTGGTACCTTTATGTCAAGCCCTATAAGATTTCTTTCCTGTTTCCCAGATGGAATGATGTAGGTTAGAACAAGTATTTAAGAATTCTAAGGACCTTGCACTGTAGCCCTGTTTTGTTGTGATAGCAGTTTTGAGGATCCAGAAAAGGGTACATGTGATACAGACATAAACTACATTACTATCTGGAGTGGTAAATTTGTGCTTTCCTTCTTAGATGGTAAATTTGAAAGAGAAAATTAAAGAACTCCATCAGCAATACAAAGAAGCATCTGAAGTAAAGCCACCCAGAGATATTACTGCTGAGTTCTTAGTGAAAAGCAAACACAGGGATCTGACCGCCCTATGCAAGGTGTGGTATACATACAGGCTTAACTGGTTTTACTTGGAATCCTAAGAAATAGCACAGATCTGGGGAATTTTGGAAAAGAGAGCTACTAGCCAATCACAAGTGCCTTCAGTGCAATGAAGACGATTTGGTACATAGTGAGCCATGGGGATTTAATGGGTTAGTTTGTTTTAAGACCTCCTTGTCCTGCAGAATTCTTATCCTGTCTTAATGATCTCATCATTTTATCTTAAATCTCAGTTTAGCCGTAACAGTTTAGAGTAAGAGTATTAAACATGGACTTCAGAGTCATTTGGGGTCAAACTGTCAAATCCCTAACTTGGAGTCTCGAGCCATGTGACCTTGGACTCCTTAATTGCCTCATCTGTAACATGGTCTTAACACCTACCTTGTAGAGTAATTGTGAAGCTTAAATACAATTATGTATAAAATGCTTACCCAGTGCCAGGGACATGGCATGCTTATGAAATGGTACTTGCTATGATTTTTCATCCCCACTTTGTAGCACACTAATATATTTCTTCTATTATTTTCTCCTGTGTGTGCCCTGCCTCCCCCTAATATTCCAGGCCCCCAATTGTAACTTGTCTCCAAAAACAAAAATCTCTGAGCTCTATCTAACCCCAGCCTAAAATTGAGCCACACTTCCTATACGTGATCCGAAGAGGAAATATGATCCAGACCTTATACTTTGTGGTATAAAGAAACTAGGTAGATATCTGACCCTTCAGGATAACTCAGATTCACTTAATTTTTATCAGGAGTATGATGAATTAGCTGAAACACAAGGAAAGCTAGAAGAAAAACTTCAAGAATTGGAAGCGAATCCCCCAAGGTAAGGAAAACAAACACAAAAGTTCAGAGGGATAGCTTTTACTGTTCTTTCAGTTTGATTTAGAAGGAAAATTGTAAATCATAGTGAGCTTTTATTTATGTTCAGTGAGTGGTTTAAATTGTTAAATAAATTAATATGTGACTACTTGTGAGGTTTCTAAATCCCCTGCTTCTATATTTTAATGTGTCCTAGATACCTAAACAGATTGTTTCTAAAGAGAGAGCCTTTCTCCATAAGATCTGATATTTGGATAAAGATGCAATAGATGGAAATTATCTTTTTTGAGGGGGTAGAAGGTGTTGTTGCTTTATACTTCCATAATTTTGGGAACTAGGTGGGTATTATACTTTATTTCCACTGGGTTTTTGACAGTGAATGCTGGTGAAATGTTTTCACTTGCATCCAGCCTCCACGTAAATCTGTTTTGTTCTGTATTCAAGGATGCTGCCCATCCTTTCTTTTTTTGAGATGGAGTCTTGCTCTTGTCGCCCAGGCTGGAGTGCAGTGATGTGATCTCGGCTCACTGCAACCTCCACCTCCTGGGTTCAAGTGATTCTCTTGCCTCAGCCTCCTGAGTAGCTGGGATTACAGGTGCCGCCATCATGCCCGGCTAATTTTTGTATTTTTAGATGGCGTTTCACCTGTTGGCCAGGCTGGTCTCAAACTCCTGACCTTAGGTGATCCACCTGCCTCGACCTCCCAAAGTGCTGGGATTACAGGCATGTGCCACCGCGTCCAGCCTGCCCATCCTTTCTATAGAGTCTATGCTGTGTGTAAAATATAAGACTTTTTTTTTTTTTACAACTAATAAGCTTTTATGATATAAGGTAATTTCATATGAAGAATTCTTTTTTTTTTTTTCCCCAGACAAATGAGGCCTACAGGTAATTTGCTTTACGTAGTGAGCTTGGCACTGCTCTAGACATCAGAGATAAGGAGGTTAATAAGACGGATAAGATGCTACTTTTTGATTTGTAATTTCTTCATATAAGGCACAGCCCTGGCTTAGATTCCGCCACAGTTATTGAGATCACCTACATCACACTGAGAGAACTAGTGATATCTTTTAATAATCCTGTACTCCTTTGTTCTTTTGCAGTGATGTATATCTCTCATCAAGAGACAGACAAATACTTGATTGGCATTTTGCAAATCTCGAATTTGCTAATGCCACACCTCTCTCAACTCTCTCCCTTAAGCACTGGGATCAGGTAAGTTTCCCTTATTTTTTTTGTTGCACATGTCTTTGAGAGAGATTGTAAGAGAAACAGTTAATTTTGTATGTGTGTTTTTAAACAGCTTTAGTAAGAGACATCATTTAAATACAGTGAAATTCACCTATTTTAAGTGAACAGTTTATTGATTTGCCAGATTTCAATCATAAGCCCCCACACAATCAGGATATAGAACATTCCCATCATCCTGAAATGTTTTCTCCTGCTCCTTTGTAGTTAATCCCCTGTGCTCTGGCTCCTGGCCCTGGACAACCACTGATTTGCTTTATCACTGTCATTTTGTTTATTCTACAGTTTCATATAAAGTAAATCATAAAGTACATAGCTTTTTGTGTGTGATGTATTTCACTTAGTATAGTTTTTGAGATGTGCATGAAGTTTTTGAGATTCATCTTTTTTGCCTATATCAGTTGTTTGCCTTTTTATTATTTAGTAGAATTCCATTGTGTGGATGCACCCCAGGTCGCTTATCCTTTCACTGGCGCCTGAATGGGCTTTTGGGTTGTTTCCCTTTTTTGACTTCTAATGAACGAAGCTGCTTAAGAATGTTCATGTCTTTCTCTTGAGTAAATATGAATGGAATTGCTGGGTACTATGGAAAGTGGATTTTTAACTTTATAAATCAACTTCCAAAATATTTTCGAAATTGCCTTCCTACCAGCAGTGTATGAAAATTCCATTTTCTCCAAATCCTCACCAATCTTGGTAATGCCAGTTTTTAAAATGTCAGCCATTCTAATAGGTATAGTAGTATTTACATTTCTCTGATGACTAGTGATGGAGAGCATCTCTTCCTGAGCTTATGAGCCATTCATGTGTCATCTTTGAGTAAATGTCTGCTCAGATCTTTTGCCTATTAAAAAAGTCTGATCGTCTGCTTGTTGATGAGTTTGAAGTTTATTATGTTCTTTAAATTCTAGGCAGAAGTCCTTTGTCAGATTTATGTTTTGCAAGTATTTATTTCCTTCTCATCTGTGGCTTGTCTTTAATTTTGTAAATCTGTCTCAGAGTAAAAGTTGTTTTTTGTTTTTGTTTTTGTTTTTTTTTTTTTGAGACAGGTCTTGCTTTGTTGCCCAGGCTGGAGTGGTGTGATCATGGCTCCCTTGCAGCCTTGACCTCCTGGGCTAAAGTAATCTTCCAGTCTTGGACTCCCATTCCTATTTATAAACTTTTTCTTTTAAACTATGTTCTTTTTGTATCCTGAAAAAATCTTTGTCTTACCTGAGGTACAAAGATTTTATCCTGTGTTCTCTTGCAGAAATTGTATGGGTTTAGCTCTTATGTTTAGGTCTATACTCCATTTTGAGTTAATTTTTGTGTATAAGGAAAAGTAAGTGAAGGGTTCATGTTTTTCCATATAGTTATGTAATTATTATTCCAGCACCATCCTTTTCTTCATTTCTCTTGGCGCCTTTGTTGAAAATTAATTGGCATGTAAGCATGAGTATTTAAGGTTGTCTTTTCTGTTAATTTATATGTCTATCCATATGCCACAATCATACTGTCTTATAAGTTCTCCAACTTTGTTCATTTTTGATTGTTTTGGCTATTTTAAGGTATGTATTTTCATAACAGTTCAACTTGTCAATTTCTACAAAAATCACTTTCTGGGATTTTGATGAGGAGTGCATTAAATTTCTAAATCAATTTAGGGTGAATTGCCATCTTAACAATATTGAGTATTCTTATCCTTAAATACAGTCTACTTCTCCAAAAATGGTTTTCTTTCATTTACGTCAGTGATGTTTTATAGTTCTCAGTGGGCAGGGCTATACCATCTTTTCTTAAATTTCAGTGTGATTTACTCTTCAAGTGAGAAATCACAGGGCTTCTTGAACCAATCTCTAAATCTGAGACTTTGACCAGACTAAAGCAGTATAGGCTGGGTATGGTGGCTCACACCTTTTTAAACCCAACACTTTGGGAGGCCAAGGCGGGTGGATCAATTGAGGTCAGGAGTTCAAGACCAGCCTGGCCCTGTTTCTACTAAAAATACACAAATTAGCCAGGCGTGGTGGCAGTCACCTGTAATCCCAGCTACTTGGGAGGCTGAGGCATGAGAATTGCTTGAACCCAGGAGGTAGAGGCTGCAGTAAGTGGAGATCACGCCATTGCACTCCAGCCTGGGCGACAGAGCAAGACTCCATCTCAAAAAAAAAAAAAAAAAGGAAAAAACCAGTATGGAAGTAAATTATTAAATTTTTACTTATATATTTTAATTTACATTGTACATTTTCCTAGTAAAAATTATTTTGACAGGCCGGGCGTGGTGGCTCATGCCTGTAATCCCAGCACTTTGGGAGGCCAAGGCGGGCGGATCACCTGAGTTCGAGACCAGCCAGGCCAACATGGTGAAACCCCATCTCTACTAAAAATACAAAATTAGCCCGGCGTGGTGGCACATGCCTGTAGTCCCAGCTACTTGGGAGACTGAGGCAGGAGAATTGCTTGAACCCGGAAGGCGGAGGTTGCAGTGAGCCAAGATCGTGCCATTGCACTCCAGCCTGAGCAACAAGAGAAAAACTCCGTCTCGGGAAAAAAAAAAAATTATTTTGACTTCTTAATCTTTATAAATAATCTGATATTTTTAGTGTTTGAAGAGTTGAACTTGTTAAAGTCTTGCAGAACTACCGTTCCTTTATGATTTTTCATGTAAATACTAAATTAGGCCCTTCTATTCATTGATTTATCATTTGATGTTTCAATATTGTGTCTATTTGTAATAGTATAAAATTTTAAATGAGTGATTTCAACTAGAGTGTTGCTGCCAGCCCAGCATTTTGATCTAATTTCCCCGAGAATTTCATGAAATTAGAAATCCTTACTAGCTTACAAAAAAAAATGTTATACAGAAAAATTTTCAGTAAATTCAGAGAAGTAAGATCATTTTGGGGATCTTTAAACCAGGTCAAATCCTGACTTTTTTTTACTGTGTGGACTGTCTTGGGCCACTCTTTATGATCCTGGATTACCTACATCTAGTTTGACTGACTTGGTTTTGGAAATCTTCCTCAACTTAGAACCTGTAAATTTAAAGCATAAAAACGGATTTTGCTCTCAGGTAAAAGAAAATGTAATCAGGACTGTGACCCTGATATCCTTCAAGTCTGTAATGTATTCAAAAGCCAGATAAATACACGTGATGTTTAATCATCTGGATTTCCTAGATTATCATTCCCCCTACCACCTCCCTACCCTAACCACCATAGAAGATCCGGACTTAGTGGTATTGGACTGGGATGATAAAAACTATCCAGGGAAGGCCAAGCGTGGTGGCTCATGCCTGTAATCCCAGCACTTTAGGAGGCTGAGGTGGGTGGGTCAGGAGTTTGAGACCAGCCTAGCCAACATGGTGAAATCCTGTCTTTACTAAAAATACAAAAACTAGCTGGGTGTGGTGGCGCATGCCTGTAATCCCAGCAACTACTTGGGAAGCTGCGGCAAAAGAATCACTTGAACCCAGGAGTCTGAGGTTGCAGTGAGCCGAGATCATGCCACTGCACTCCAGCCTGTATGGCAAAGCAAGACTCTGTATCGGGGGGAAAAAAAAATCCAGGGAAGAAAGAAACTTCCCTAATCTCACTGCCCAAAGATTTAGGGACATTTTGGTGTTTTCTCTTCTTTCTTCAGTTTCCTTTGATAACTGTAACTAAATACTGAGTGATTTGTTCTTTAGTTTGCCTTAAAATATTGACTGTTTCCAGAAGCTTGTGTTTTCATTGTTGTACAGAACTAGGTGCAAATGACACAGATTAAGAAAAGGTTGGAAATATGTTCTTTTCTCTCCTCTTTAGGATGATGACTTTGAGTTCACTGGCAGCCACCTGACAGTAAGGAATGGCTACTCATGTGTGCCTGTGGCTTTAGCAGAAGGCCTAGACATTAAACTGAATACAGCAGTGCGACAGGTTCGCTACACGGCTTCAGGTATGTCACTGCTTTACAAAAGGTAAGAGAGAACTCTCCTGAAACAGGACTGATCTTTTGTTAGGTATGAACTATCAGGTACATTTCCTGATAGAGTGTTTAAACTATGACACCATAGGTAAAAACTGGCATTTACAGACAATCGAGCCTATAGAGTCTTTGGTTCTAACCTTATCATTTTATAAACTGGGAAACTGAAGCAAGTTTTAGAGTTTCCAATTTGAGCTAGTTGGATATTACTGGTTGGGCATCCCTAATCTGAAAATCTGAAATCTGCAATGCCCCAGTGAGCATTTCCTTTGAGCACTATGTCAGTGCTCAAGAAGTTTTCCATTTTGGTGAGCCAGTGAGTTTGGATCTAATTTTGTTACGTATATTCATAAATACCAGAATTTTGGCACCTGGGCTCCAGTAGGACCCACCCCTTTTATTTCACCATCCGCATTTTGGTCTTTGGATTCATTTTGGCCTTTTCTATTCAGCTGGGCTAATTCGCTTACGTTTGGTTCCTAGTTCTGGAGCAGTCCTGCTAATAAGTTGACTTCTTTAGAGATAGTTTCCCTGTGCTTGCTATGGGGATAGGCTCAATACTCATTATTATTGCTGGTTTCAGACTACATTTAATGTAAAGTGCAGGCAACTGTTGTATTTTGAACTCCTCAAGATAGCTAGTCATCTCCCACTCCGAGAACCCATGTGTGACTGTGTAGGCATGAGAAATGGAGACATAGCCATCAATCTTACCCCACGCTGCCCGTTTCCTTAGAGTTACTGAGATCACCACAGATGTTTTGGTTGTTTCTAACAATCAGTGAAACAGTTTTCCATTTAATTTTCCCATCAGAGGCAGCTTCTAGTTGACAGTGCTGAGAAGATCTGCAGCCTTGAGCCTTTTGCAGACAGACGGAGAACAGTGAGAATAGATGTTGTGCCATTTTCTGTAGTTCTGCAGCCACAGAAAATGAGCATGTACTGAGCTTTCATATTTGAGATACATATATATATCTCAAAGTATATATAGTATATAAACAGACATTCATTAAAAAATAAATGAGGAAAATGATGTTAACATAATTTCAGTACCCTCTCTGAGGTCAGCTTTGAGCTCATTCATACTCTGACAAGCTGAGGATGACTCTACATTCTCAAGCATAGCATGCTCCGCAGTGTTAGGCTGCATCCCCCAGATCTGCATCACAGCCTTCTTGTAGCATTCTTCTGTTGGTTGATAGTGAGCAACTAACCACAGTCAGAAGACATTGGTTCTGTTGGGATGAGCATTTTACTCTTTATTTTTGGTCTAAATGTACTTAACTTGAGTAAATGGTAAGGTCCTTTCATTAGTCTAGATCACCAGTGTATCGGGAGGGTAGTGTGGGGATGACAATCAAGGATTCTGAAGTTGACTACGAGGGTTTGAATCCTGGCACTTATTACCTGTGTGGCCTTAGATGTGTTATTTCACCTCTACCTCAGTTTTCTTATGTGAAACATGAAGGTAATGAAAATAGAAAAATGAGAATTGAGAGATGGATGTCCATCTGTTGTACACTAAACGTTCAGTGTCCTTATCAGTGCCATATTCATCACCACTAGCCTTCTCCCACCCAACCTCTGCAGGATGTGAAGTGATAGCTGTGAATACCCGCTCCACGAGTCAAACCTTTATTTATAAATGCGATGCAGTTCTCTGTACCCTTCCCCTGGGTGTGCTGAAGCAGCAGCCACCAGCCGTTCAGTTTGTGCCACCTCTCCCTGAGTGGAAAACATCTGCAGTCCAAAGGATGGGATTTGGCAACCTTAACAAGGTAGCTTGCCTTAGACACTTCCGTCTACAGATCTAATGTACAAATAGCAGTCTTAGTCATTTACTTGGTGAGGAGGGGCCTTGCGTTTTTGGGCATTTGGCTATGCTCTCAATTGTGACATCAGGGCTGAGGCATGTCAGTTGATTCTCTTCAGTGTCTAAGTCTATCATCAAGTGTCTGTTCATACGGACTTACTCTTATGGGGTCATTTCACAAACTCAAGCCTATAAAAAGAGGATCGTAAATGTCATCCTAAATAATAAGAATTTCTGGGCTTATTTTGAAAGCAGATTAGAAGAGACTTCAAGGAAGTCTGTTGAAGCCAGTATTATCCGGCCCGTCACTAGCTCATGTGCTTCTTTCTTACGGTAGGTGGTGTTGTGTTTTGACCGGGTGTTCTGGGATCCAAGTGTCAATTTGTTCGGGCATGTTGGCAGTACGACTGCCAGCAGGGGTGAGCTCTTCCTCTTCTGGAACCTCTATAAAGGTAAATGCCTTCTAATTTTAATCTTTTCCATATCCTTACAGGAATATAGAATTTGAAATATTTGGGATTTTCTCAATATAGATGCCTTAATTTCTCTCTTTATTAACTCAACAAACAATTCCTGAAATATCTTCTAGGTACTGGGGTGTAAAAATACCTGCCTTCGAGGAGCTCCCAACTTAGGATACAGTAAGCGGGGAAGCAGCCTTAGAACAGGGCAGTAGGTGGCATGACGGGCTGAACGCCCAGGTTACTGGAGGTCCACTCAGACTGGAGGGACAGGCCCAGGGAGGCTTCCTACCAGGGGAAGCTTGTGTTCCTCATTCTCAGACTGACTTGCCCCCATTCTTTGCTTGCTTCCCTTACAATGTATTTAAGAAATTCCTACCTCCTGTTCAGTTATTTTCTTCTGTAATTGGACTTAACTCTATGTAGACTTAAAGTATATTTGTACACCACCTCATTCCCAGAAAAGGCTGTAAAAAGAAGACATTGGCCTTGTCACTGCAGACACATCAGCTAACTGGCTTGCCCCCCATCCCCAGTTCTTTCCATTACTCCTCATTGCCCAGTGGTGAATGGTCTTTCACACCCCAGCGCCTCTAACTTCACAGAGGGGGAACTTGGCTCCCTGAGCACATTGCTTTCTGACAGCAGCAGCGTCTTTTCCCCATCCAGACTGTCAAGTCCTGTCAGTGCCAGCCTTATAATGTCTTGCAAACCTATTTACTTTTTTCTATTGCCTACCTCCCAGTCCAAGCCATTCTTACCTATTGCCTGGACGGTTACCAATAGCTACTACTGCTATTCCTGCTTCTTTTAGCAACTTTCTACTGCTGAAAGAAAATGTTCAAACTCCTTATCTTGGCCCATGCTAAGGTTCTTCATTATCTAACTCATCTCTACTTCCTTGTCCATCCCCAGGTTCCAGGCACATTTGGCTGCTCTCACATCCTGGAAGACACCATGCTGTTTTCTGCTTCAGAGCCTCTACATGTGCTGTGGTCTAGGCCTGGGGGGCTGCTTCTCCCCCCACCCCCTCGACCCCACTTCCTTCACAGCCTGTCTTATTCAGCATTCAGGTTTTGACATAAACGTCAGTATTTCAAAGACTTCCAGGACACACACATCTCCACTGCACCAAATGTAAATTAAATTTACCCCCGTATGCTTTTCCCTATAGCCTACTTTTTCTTCATAGCTTTTATCACAGTTAATAATTATCTGTGTAATTTTGCATCTGTTGCTCTATTGGAGTATATAGTTTATAGCTTTTTTATCCCCCTCTTCTAGTAGTGTGCCTACCACCTATGTCTGTTGCATAACTATTCACCAGATGGGTGACTGAAGACAGTCCTGGGCTTGGAGGGGCCTGGGATGGCTGAAAGGGATGTAGCCATTGTCATGGAGCTATCTAAGGTAGTCAAGCTTAAGAATTCTGTGCCAAAGTAAAGGGATGCTTAATAATTCCCTTTTATTAGCAAGATCTGAAATTGTATCTTTGGAACTCTGCTGTATTTTGTCAAGTTAGAAGCAGTGAGGTGCCTGTGAATCTTACTTCACTCTCTAGTCTGCCAGCTCCTAGTGGCTGGTTTCTGGCGACAATAGTTCCATAGGCTGTTTCAGAAACATAATTTGTCTCTTTGCATTTCAGTGGTGCTGCTGTATGTGTCTTGTCATCAGATTTCAGAGCACCAGGAATAAGGTGGGGCCTGATAAGGACGTTTTTGAGGAAAGTCTGTAGGAAAACCCTAGAATTATCCTTTCTGTTTCCCCAGCTCCAATACTGTTGGCACTAGTGGCAGGAGAAGCTGCTGGTATCATGGAAAACATAAGTGACGATGTGATTGTTGGCCGATGCCTGGCCATTCTCAAAGGGATTTTTGGTAGCAGTGCAGTACCCCAGGTAAGTAGATAGGTGAGGTAAGCAGGGATCTAGGCTTCAAACTCAACCAAGGTTTAATGTATTTGCAGCACGTTCTTGGTCAGGACAGTTTAAGCTAGAATTGAGGTGTGTGCCTTTACATGAATATTAATGTTTGGAGTTCATGGCCTAAGCATGGGGTTCAGAAAAGCCCCCCAGAACAAGAGCTGGGGAATCTGAAGGCTGTTAGCTACATTTCTCCTCTGGCTTTAGAGTCACACCATACCCGACATTTTAGACAAAATGGCCAAACTCCAGTGAGTATCTCTGGGAAGTTTTCAGAGAACCTCTTGGTACTTTTTCCTGTTCTTTGAAATACTTTAACCCCTTAGGATTCCTTTGAAGGGAAGCATATTGTGAATTTATAAAAGAGAATAAAGGCCGAACCCTGTGTAGATCTCTAGATTCATAGACAGGAAGGCAACATGGAGGCATCCTTCCTGTCTGAAGTCCTTTTGTCCACGTCTATTTTAAAGCAGAGCATTCATCACTTGATCACTGGCTCTCACATCTGTTGCCCTTCTTTCTCTCACTTACATCTCCACCCACCACTGCTTTTCTACCTTTCAAGGATTGATTTGTCCTTGGTATATCATAATGACTTTTGCTCCTGGTTTTTCTTTTAGCCCAAGGAAACTGTGGTGTCTCGTTGGCGAGCTGATCCCTGGGCCCGGGGCTCTTATTCCTATGTTGCTGCAGGATCATCTGGAAATGACTATGATTTAATGGCTCAGCCCATCACTCCAGGCCCCTCGATTCCAGGTGCCCCACAGGTGAGAACTGGCAAACTATCTGGGCTTATTTGGGAAGAGGCCCTGATTTTTTTTTTCAGATTTTAGTCATTCTATCTTCGGACCTTTCAGATAACCAAGCACAGAGTTAAAAGGATGGCACCATTTCTGATTTCTCATCATTTGGTTTTGTAAATCTAGGCAGCCTGCATTCAGAATGGAGGAGTCCAGAGTATAAGTCAAATAACATTTTTCCTTATTCAGGTTTTCCCCCTAAAAAACAAAACCATTTTTAATTGCACTTCCATTTTGTAATGGCTCACAGGATTGCTGCAAGGTCACAATTACTAGGGGCTTCCAGGGCATTCCTGAGAAATAACCCTGGGTCCTTATCTAGACCCTTATGCCAGACCCCACTCCAAGAGCAGTAAGAATTCCTCAGTGTCATAGCCCAGACCTGCTCTGAGCTGCAAGGCTGAAGTGTCCCTGATCACCAAATGTCCTGTGCTTCAGGGTAGTGAGGCTCCCTCCCAGAAGGTACTGAGGGAAGGACGCTCTAGAATTGGGTATCTAAACTGATGAGAACACGTTAAGCATCACTTTAGGACCCCGAGGCTAGGTGGAGTTTTACTGTCTCATTTCTCCTTGTCAATTCTTGGAAAATGCCTACTGATAAGGGAGACTCAGAATGATGAATAGTAATTGGGGGGTCAGCCTTCACAAGGTCAACAGGAATTTAGTAATTTAAGTACAAGAGTAAAGGTGTATGTGCAGCCTGCCAATTTTCTTTTTCCCCTAAAACAGCCGATTCCACGACTCTTCTTTGCGGGAGAACATACAATCCGTAACTACCCAGCCACAGTGCATGGTGCTCTGCTGAGTGGGCTGCGAGAAGCAGGAAGAATTGCAGACCAGTTTTTGGGGGCCATGTATACGCTGCCTCGCCAGGCCACACCAGGTGTTCCTGCACAGCAGTCCCCAAGCATGTGAGACAGATAACATTCTAAGAGAAGAGGCCCATGTGCCTGTTTCTGCCGTATTAGCAAGGCTCTTCTAGCAATACTAGATCCCACTGAGAAAGTCCACCCTGGCACCTGATCGGCTGCTGGAGCTCCTGATTTGACAAGGGAGCCTCCCTCCTTTGAATGACCTAGAGCACAGGGAGGAACTTGTCTATTAGTTTGGAATTGTGTTCTTCATAAAGACTGTGAGGCAAGTGCTGTGAAGTAACATCTTAGTCTCGTTTTTTGTTTTTTTTAATATATTTTGAGAATAAAAGTTCATATAAAATTGGCCCTTCTGTTCCTTTGGGTTGGAGTTACATACAAGATGGGGGCATTACTCCTTTGGAAATGCCAAGTTTATCCTATGACAATGGTAATGTATGTTTTCTCCATGTTTAAATAAGGAAGATGTTTATATAAAAGAGAAAAATGGTTTGATCAGGTCAGAAGATAAGGTGGGGGGCGGTCCTGTAGAAGCAGTGGATTTCCTAGTCAGTGGGACTAGACTTCCCCACTGGGGAGGGGTGTGGTGGTGTGCCAAGAACATAGGTATTAGGAAACTTTGGATGAACTTTCAAGATAAAACAAGAGTGAAACAAAGTTTGAGCCTTTGGGAGATGAGTCTGCCTTTATTCCTGATTCCCTCCATGGGTACGTGCTAAAACTTCCCAATTCTACGAAAGCTGTTGGTGTACATTTTGGGAAGCACACTACGTAAGAGCAAGGGCTTAGGTAACAGCTGGTTTAACAAATTGCCACAAACTTAGTGGCTCTTAAAAAAAAAAAAAATCTACAGTTCTGGATGCTTAAAGTCTAAAATGGGTCTGCAGGGCTGCATTCATTATGGAGGCTCTCAGAGTGGGGAGGATCAGTTCATTTCCTTGCTCTTTTCAGCTTCTAGGGGTGGGAAGGCTTGTGGCTCCTACCTCCATCCGCAGAGCACCTAACTCCAATCTCTGCCTCCATCATCACATTGCCTTCTCCTGTAGTCAAATCTTTGTCTCCCTCTTAAAAGGATATACCTGTGACTACATTTAAGGCCCACCTGGATCATCTAGGATGATCTCCCTCATCCCAGAATCCTTACCGGCAAAGTCCCTTTTGCCCATATAAGATAAAAACATGTTACATGCTGGTTCCTTACCAGGGGCTCCTGACAGATAAACTCAGTTACTACAAATCCAAGTAATGCCCCTTAAATGTGGTTTTATTGTTAGTATGAGTTAAGGGACATAATGTAGATTGTTGGTCTGACGGGAAGATGAAAACAGAGAAGGCTTTCCCCCCCCAGTCTTAAGAATTCGTGACAGTATGGAAAGAATCTGCACACCAGGATCAGGGCAAGTGGCGGAACTGATGAAAAGGTGAGGGCTGTGCACAGTGCACAGTGCATGGACCTCGGCATACACCTGCGTCTGAATCTGAGTTCTGCGATCAACATTGTTACTTCACGGGGATTAGCTAGGGTATCTAATCCGGGGTAGGTCTCTTAAGAGTTTTTGTTTTTTAAACAGATGGCATAGGCAGCTTGAGAGAGAGAGATGACTATCTGGCAACAATGGGCAAGCCTGAAAATTAAATGTTGCAAAGAAATAGCTGCTGATTATAATTCTAGTTATGTGGGTCCTACGCATGTCCTTTTCTAAGCCTCAGTTAATGTTTCCAGTCCTCGCAGTATCAGTAATTGGTTAGGTAAAATACCCAGTTTTAAGCATCATACAATGAAATACACTAGAGCTGCATCAATGCATAGAAGACAGATACACAGGGATGACATTAACACTCGCATCACAGACTTGCACAGAGTATATATGGAAACGAGGGAGCTTTATTGGTTACATATTGTACTGCAGAGCCAACAGAGAGCATTCGCGCCAGAGGATACATGCAGACAGGCAGCTCCAACGATACACATGCACCCAAGGAGCCCTGAGCCACTGCTTTGCCCTGGTTTCCAGCGACAGGTTCCGGCCTCCTTGGTCCCATGCTTGGAGCAGGAATGTAGAAGCTGCTGCACCTAGACTCCAAGGGGCAGGGGTGAGACCAGAGCACCTGCCTGAGCAAGTAGGTGTGGACCAACAGACTGCCCCCAACAAAGGGGCCTATAATGCAATAACAGTTTATTTGAGGGCTACCTTCTTAGCCCTCTCAATCTTTAAAATACAAAAAAATAGACTTTATTCTCTTAAAAATACATTCCATTCAGTATGTTCTGAGCTGGGAAGCAGCAGGAAAATAGGGCCCCTTTCTCCTATGATCTTGGTTGTGAGGTTTTGAGGAGAACCCTGTTCCCCACTCGGGGTATTCAAAACATAATCCCTAAAAGCAGCTCTTTCCAAAGCAGTCTTGTCAGAGAAATAACAAAACCTCCTAACAAGGTAGCCAGGGACCCAGCCTCTGGATCCCCGTTCCTTTATTGGGAAGTGGTAGCACTTGGCACTGACCCACTAAATATAAAGAACTAAAAGTGCCCCAGGACGACAAGTCCAAGAACACTATAGCGCCCCCCACATCCCGAACACTCCAACGAGAGGGGGTTATTTTTGTGCAAGCTTGCCTGCAGCTGAGGGTGAGGTGGCATCCTTGGCCCCACTGCAGATCCCTTTAACCCACACTGTGACTCTTTCATTGCCACCCAAAAGCAAAAAAACCGCCACCGCTTATTTATCCACCTCCAGCTTTCTCTGGTTTCGTGTCAGAGTGGCAAAAAAACAGCAGCAGGTGGAAGAGATCAGCTGCTGGTACTAAGCCAGCTCCACTCCCTCCAACCAAGCAGCTCTATTGCCAGGTCCCCCAACTCACTAGGAACCCTCCAACAACCATACACCTGCCAGTAAAATTTAAGAGCCAAGCTATGGAAGAAACTTGTCATAAAAGTGGGTTTGCTGACTGGGGGCAGTGAGACTATTTGGCTTGATTAAACAACTATCCAACTACAGGTCTCCCCTCTACTTGGAGGCTTCCTCCAGGACCCCTGACGATGAGGCCTGGGTCCAAACAGTTACACCTCAGTTGCTTTCCAGAAACATGCCTCCCAACTTTGGGATTTGAGAGCCAGCCTTGCCAGCCATTTGAAGCCCAGAGAAACTGAGCCTCCAGCCTTTACTTGCTATTACTACGTTATTTTCTGCAATGCTGAGGACATTTAAAAATAAAATCTATCTAGAAAGTGTGCAGATTAAAGAAACAAAATATCCTGAAATAACTGTTACAATCAAATCCTATTGCACTCAGATTTCAAGATGACAGCCCCAGCAAAAGGGCTTCACAGCTGTCCCTCTTCCACAGGACATTTTGAGTAGCAGCAGATGTTGGTGCTGCTGAAATGTGGAAAGATCCAGACTTTGGCACCAGGAGCTATATAGCACCAGAATCCAGGGCTCCAACACCCAAACACAAGAATTATTGGCGAGATCTTTTTAAGCATGGCTTGGCGCCCTTCTGTTTCCATCAGCAGAGAAGAGCCACAGACTTAGTTTCCTATACCTTCAGTTGACCACCACGGAGGTTGATTTCCTTTGAACTCTCAAGGTTGCCAACCAGTGAAGGAGAATGGCAGGGAGGCCGCAAGTGAGGGACGGCAGCCTTGAGTGAGCTAGTTTCTGGCCAGTGAGCCAGGAGAAGCAGCAGGAAGAGATCCTGGAAATAGCATCTTGAGCATTAGAGGTGGGGATGTGGAGAGGAAAGGCAGGCCACATGACAATGCCTTTAGATTGACAACTCTAGGAAACAAGTATGAGCAATAGATTCCTGTCCCTGAAAGTAAGGTAGGTGCTCCCCAAGCCTCCTCACTGCCAAATCTGATGCAGACAAGGGCAGGATGAACACTGATTCCCATGCTGAGTGAAGGCAGGGAAGACCAATTCCTCTGGAGGAAATCTTGAGTCTTCCTCTTGCCAGGAGATTCATAGGAGATGCACAGGAATAGGAGATACACAGACTTGGGTACTTTCCATAACATCTAGACTCCTAGAAAGCCAGGAGATACTGTGTGGCACTGGACAAGGCTGATGCCACAAAGAGCCTCAGAGACCATCCGATCTAATCCCTTCACTTTGCAGACTGGGAAACAGGCCCAGGGAGCTTCTCTGAGCTCATCCCCATGAGATTAAAACATGAGGAAACTAAAAAACAAGGCCCAGAAAAACAACTGAGGGCAGGGGGGAAGAACCCACATGGATGATACCTTCCAAAAGCAAAAATCATCCCATACTATTATACTATTTACCTGAGAACAGGTAAATCATCCCATACTATTACAGATGGTGAAAACAGGAGAACCTCAGAATACCAGATTTGGTGCCCTTAGAGATCATCCATTTCAAAGAACTCATTTTACAGACAGGGAAACTGAGGCTCCAAGGCGGCAATGACTCACCCAAGGTCACACAGCAAGGAAGTAAAGCCATGGGGAAACAAATACAGCTTACCAGACTGCTAGTTTAATGTTGTCTCCTTCTGAGGGCAATAGTGTCTGCTTCATAAAGGTAGCCTTTGAAAGAGGATCCCTTCTTTGAATTGAAAGAACGCTAAAGAAAAAGCAGTGCCAAGAATATACAATTCTTTTAAACTTCCCCATATGACTGGTATAAGGAACCTAACCAATTTATTTACGTGGCTTTCTGAAAGGTTTGCTGCATTTTGAACTACATAAACCTGAGGCCCTCAATGGGTATGTACGTATCACCTCTCCTCCAACGAAGTCATCATGATAGTCGACTTGCAGAAATCCGGGGCCCACTTCTGTAGGAATGCATCAGCTTGGTAAAGTGCGATGCCTCCTCCATGGGGGACGGAGGAGGAGGAACAGGAGGGAGTAGTCTCATAGTCCATGCCTCTCATGGAGCTATTGCTTGTGGAGTGACTAAAGGTGAGTCACTTCGGGTCTGCTTTCCCCCGTGCTGGGCACTTCCTAGAAGGCAGAGGATGCTGGGTCAGGCCCAGCTTAGCCTAGGGATTTTCCCAAGGTGGAAACAATGAAGAGAGAGCAGGCGATGCCAGCAGCATTACTGGTGCTCGGGAAAGAAGATGCATGAGGCTTGCCCCAGGTGCCTTTGAAAGGTGAGCAGAGAGAGCTGGGGTTGGGGAGGGATGATGTCATTCCAATGGGTATCCGCATGGGTATCTGCATGCTCTGCTTCCAGGAGACTGGTCAGCCAGGGGCCAGGTCAAACTTCAACCTAAAGGGTAGTCTCGATCCTTCAGAGGCAGCACAGACCCCTTTCTGCTTTAAAAGGCTGCGGAAAAGAACGCCAGGGAGAAAGAAATGAAAGCCCCCTAGATGGAGCTGA